CGCATGTCTTCTTTAGTGATACAAGCTCAGAAACATTTATAACCTGTTGAAGTTTTTTACGTTGTGTATTGACTTGGTGAAATGATGGATATTAAAATGTTATTTATTTTTTATTTTAAACAGTATAGATGATTACTTAATGGTAATACAATATTTGTGAACACAACTGTGTATGTCAGACCATAAATACCCAAAAACTATGCATGGGGGCTTGCTTTGGTGTTGCCACCCCTCATAGACCCCATGCCACCCCTTTGCCACCCTAAAAATTATTTTCTAGATCCGCCCCTGCATCTACTGTAGCCTAGGTTTTCGCTGCGTTCACCCCTCAACACACCACAGGTTTCCTCCAGTGAAAATGAAGCACATATGAACGCATATACTTTATAAAACGATGTTGCCATTTTCATTTGAATATATATATATATATATATATATATATATATATACACACCCTCATATATACACCCTAACCCTAAAATTAAAATCCTAGAATCACCCTGCTTCTAGCACTGGTAGTGCAAATTAATATTTAAAAAAGCAAGATATTTATATTTTCATATCAGTATTAAAAGTATTAATATTTCAAGATAACTATTTCTGTTACTAACGTAGGCCTACTGATGAACTTCAACAAGCCTCTGGAGTCAATGTTTCAAAAGCATCGTCGAAATGTGGAGAAAAAAAACTATTTCACACTTTAGGTGCTTTTGTTATTAGTTATACACAATATGTTCTTTAACCCACACGTGATTGATCTTTTATTCATAAGAGAACACAAGTCGGTTTCCACCGATAGCGTTTATTAAATATTAAAGCATGTGGTGTCGAATTGACACCCTCGTGCCACAAGCCCTTTATCTGAAGATCAGGCAAGACCTTTAATGTCAGGGCAATGCACTTTACCTGCTGGGGCACACTCTAATTCAAAGTAAACAGAAATTGTATAATGTAGGTTTTTTTGACGGCAGAATGGAGCGACGCACATCTAGGGCTGAGGGGGAGCGAGCGGAGAGGAGAGTGAGGTTCCGCGTGGCGTCGGCGCTCAGCGGTCGCGTGCTGCAGGAGGTGTTCAGAGAGCACGCGCTCGAAGACTCAGCGGACACGGACACCACCGTGAGCTCAGAGCCAGAGCGCTCCACCTCGCCCGGCATCACGGAGGCAAACAGCCATTTGAGCGGCCTGATGGGGCCAGAACCGGAGGACAGCGGCAGCGAACCGGACGAGCTGCTCATGTACGCTAGTGCAAGCAAGGAGAAGCTTTTCACCGGAAAACGCGTGAACATCTTCAGTAAGAACGGAACTATTCGAGGCGTGAGAGATAAAGTCAGCGCGGGACAGGTGTTGTTTAACAACCTCTCCCAAATGTATGGGGTAAGTTTTATTTGGAGCAATATAATTAATACATTTACTGATGTTTAATACAGCTGTGAAAAGATTTTTCTGTAGACCTATAAGAGAAGAAAGGGAGAATGGATGGATGAGTTTTTAATAGCTGGAAAAAGGAACTCAATGAGCCTTATAATGACGGACTAATTAGGCTACTGTGAGAAAGAGGCTATGTTTACCGAATAACATGTCCAGGTTATATTTCACCTAAAATCGCAAGAAATATTAAATAATAACATGCTTAGAAAAATAAAGATGTGTGCATTGATGACAGCTAAGCACAAGAATATAGGCATTTTTATACAGAATATAATTTATTTTTCCTTTTGATTTGAGGGTGTTTTCATGAGATGCACCCAACACAATTGTCATATTCAGAGGAAAATTATGACTTTACTTCATATATATCACCCATTAACAGATTGGTATAATAATATAAGAATTATTACATTACCATGTAAAAGTATTACCAAGGGTTACAACCAGTAAAAAGTTTGAACACACCACACATTCTTTATTATTACTTTAAAAAATTTTTAAACTACATTAAAACTATTTATATGTGGCACAATTTATATTTGTGTAGAAACTTTTAGATCAAAGATTTTTAAATAAATTAGGTTATAAATTCAGTTAGATATGTTCAAACTTTACCGCTAGAGTACATATTTTTCACTTCAGTCTTTTGGCATAGTGTTTTCAGTGTATAATGTTACTATTATTAACCTGTACATTACTTACTCTTGAAGAAATATATATATACATATTTATCCTGCTAATTCTATAACAAGTTAATTTCAGATTTGTAAACTATTTCATCATTAATCTATAATATGTGTCTAATAAATGAATAAATAATGTGTGTCTTTCAAAGGATTCCCTTATTATGAACCGGCCTAAAAGACCATGAGATTTTGTCTGAAAACAGCCCTGGATGTCCTGCAGCAGAGGATGCTGGGTCACAACGTCACCCTGGGTGGATGTGCAACAGGCTTGAGTGTGTGAAAGTGATGATCAGCGGCCAATGTTTTTTGTTTATAAGTGCTTCTCGATATTTGTGTATATTGTAGTTCTGTAAATATATTTATATTCTCTTTTTGCAAAAGCATTTTTGAAAAAAGGAACCGAAGGTATCTGTAAAGTCAAATGGTTGCTTGGAGCATTCTGTTTGCCTATGTTTGAGGTGTCTTTTCTTTATTTTGACCTTTCATTGTTTGTGATTAAATTATCATGATTTTTTTAGACAATAAGATGTTTTAATCAAGTTTTATACATATTATACATACAGTTTTAATGCAATAAAAACAAAAAAGTCATACAAACCTTTTTATTTTTGTTCATAAATTTTGGAATATTAATTTTTTATTCATCTAGTATCAGTTATGTGTGCATTCTAATATCAAAAATTATTTTGCTAACCCGGCTCTTCAAGTTAGCTTTTTGTTTTTTATTCATCTGATAAAAATGTACAGTAACTTTGATTTGCCACCACTTTGACAAGCAATGTGAATTATGTGCAAACTGGATTTTCATCTGATTTTAGAGTGATAATCTCTTATAATAGTTGAGATTTCAGAAGACAGTTAGGAGAGCGAAGACCCCGTACAGAAGAGCGCAGGGATAGGCCACCAGCAGCTGCTGCCCACTCATGTCAAGAGTGGAACTGAAGATCTTAGAAGCTGATAGACTGCACCAGCCAATCACAAACAAGGCCAACAGCGTTCCCAAGAGCCCTCTGCATTAAAATAAAAGCCACTTGTTATTCACATGCAACATACTTGAAATTATACAGTCTTCAAAATAAAGGTTCCAAAAAGGTTTTTTTGAATTTTGGGTTCCCCAAAGAAGTTTTCAGTAAACGGTTCTTTAAACAGCATTGTTTTTATAAGTGTGAAGTACATTTGAACAATCTAAAAAAACATTTTCCACTATAAATAACTTTTTATTCAACAGGTTCCATGAATGTTAAAGGTCTGTTCACACCAAGCATGATAATTATAACGATAACAATAAAGACAAGTTTAAAAAACTGTTCTAAAGTTAAAAGAATATCAAGAGTCCACACCGCAACTATAATGATAATGGCACAGAGGAACAATGTGATTAGAATCACTTTCAAAAAATAATAAAAACTTTAATAGCCAATCAGAATCCATCCTGCTTTAAAGAACTTGAACATCTAAAGAAATAGTTGACCCAAAAATGAAAATTTGCTGGAAATTTACACACACCCAAGCCATCCAAGATGCAGATGAGTTTGTTTCTCATCAGAACAGATTTGGAGAAATGTAGCATTACATCACTTGCTCACCAGTGGATCATCTGCAGTGAATGGGTGCCGTCAGAATGAGAGTCTAAAGAGCTAATAAAAACATCACAATAATCCTCAAGTAATCCACACGACTCGTTATTATGGATTATCGACTCGTATTTTGGCCAGAAGTGACAGTTTAAAGTTAAAACGTCTTAATGATGGATTTGTTTCTTCTAAATGCACAGCTTTTCGGTTCACAAGATGTACAATGATGAACTGGAGTCATGTGGATTATTGTGATGCTTTTATCAGCTATGTGAACTCTCATTCTGACTGTACCATGGTGCGTTGGTTTAGATGCTAATATATTTATGGTTATAGTTATCATTCTTGTATGGAAAGAGTGTATGGAAAATGTAAATAGATTTGGACATATTTAGTGGTCTAAAACTTTTATTTATTATTTGTTGTGGCTATAAAACACTCAAAGAAGTGGTAAATGTTTCTATACAGTTATGGATACTCACTGAAGGGAATAAAGAACAGCAAAGGCAGAGAGTCCCACCATTGGCAGGAGGCAGTATCCCAGCACACTCGCCACACAGCCACAGGATATGCTGTAACTGCTCATCAGGTTCAACAGCATGTACATCCCAACACATCCCAGAGCACTGATGCCATACACATACCCAAAGTGTGCTTTCCCTGCCTGCCAAGAGAATACACACACAGATCCACAGGTACATGCTCTGGACATTACATATGTTTTCATTTCCTCAGTGCAATACAATTTACTGTGTACCTCTAGTTAATGGTTTCACAAAGGTTCAGGATGTACCATTAATAGTGTGGCTCCCAGAGCAATGCAGAAGAGAACAGGCCCAGTGAGGTCTGTCTCATTCATAATACTGCCATCAGCAGGCTTCAGTGGATTTAACACAGTCAGATTCTTCTGCCAAATATGGTCAAAGTTAATGCCCAACTCTGGGGGAAAAAAAATACACATATTTTTCATAAAAAAAATATATTTCTATTAAGTTTGATTAATGCATAAAATGCCCTTTCTTTTTTAAAGCTGAAGTTTGCAGTGTTAAAGGGATAGTTCACCCAAAAATGAAAATTTGCCTCATGTTTTTCCAAACCTGTATGAGTTTCTTTCTTTTGTTGAAGACAAATATATAAAAAAAAATTATATATATATAGAGAGAGAGAGAGAGAGAGAGAGAGAGAGAGAGAGAATATGTTGGTAACCAGTTGCTGGTAGCCATGGACTTTAATAATATTATTTTTTCCATACTATGGAAGTGAATACCGGGAACATTCTTCAAAATATCTTCTTTTGTGTTTATCAGATGAAGAAACTAATACAGGTTTGGAACACCTTGAGGGTAAGTAAATGATGACAAAATGTTCATTTTTGGGTTGACTATCCCTTTAGGGTGTGGTCACATTTGAGAAATATCTGCAAAATTTCGCAGGAAAAGGTCGATTGTCGATAGTTTTGTGATGTATGAAGCACAGCTCACACAGAGGTCACTTTCAAATCAATTAGAATTCATTTCACATAAAGAACTTTAAAACTGTTGCAAAATCTGCGTGGGGAAATTTTTCACCTTCACACGAAATTCCCAGTGGTGTGGATTACTTTATTTTGCAACGCAGAAGTAAGCTATTTTCTGTGAATGTGCGATACGTCTACTTCATTAGCCGCTATGGGTAAATAACAAGAAGAATAACAAAGTGCAGTAAACGGTACAACTATTTGCTCTTCAAACCAGTGTTTATGATTATGAAAAGACATTAAAATAATATGATAACAAATACCAGTGTGCAGTATCAAAAAGCATAAACTGACTGTTTTACGACAGGTAAAACAGGTAAACAGATGGATAAAAATTAGTGAATTTAGCCTATGAAAATTTGTGACTTGACTCGCCCTTGACCCGACCAATGGCTTAAGTTGGGGTGGGGCAAGGTTTTTTTTTCCGTTTTGAAAAATAAAATAAAAAATCACACACAGACACATATGTGTGTGTGTGTGTGTGCGTGTATAACTTTTTTTTTTTTGCGGTTCTGTTCAGTGGTGCAAAATTACACACTTCAGCTTAAAGATGTTTTCTTATAGATTATACAGGTGCATCTCAATAAATTAGAATGTCGTGGAAAAGTTCATTTATTTCAGTAATTCAACTCAAATTGTGAAACTCGTGTATTAAATAAATTCAGTGCACACAGACTGAAGTAGTTTAAGTCTTTGGTTCTTTTAATTGTGATGATTTTCCACGACATTCTAATTTATTGAGATGCACCTGTATTTATTACCTTCTAAGAGTGGCGGCTCTTCCTCATATGAGTCTATATATTCTGTTTGCTCGGGTAGCGCTACAGGCTGATACACTTGTCCACTATAAGATGCTGTAGTGGTATATTCATCTGCTAAATGTGCGGAATTATCACTGATGATCAGATGGTAAATAATGAATCAACATTTACATTGCACACAGAAACACATTAGCTGATATACCTTAATAAATGAGATATCAAACACATGTATGCATTTACACTTACACTTCATGGTATTCTGGATTGACGTAGACTGGATCATAGCCATATACATCCTCCTGCTGACCATCCATATAATATCCAGACTGATAGAAGTCTTGTTCAAAGTTTTGAAAGTCTCCCATTCTGCTTAAAGTAATGAGGAATGTCTACACAAGTTCATTTGTGGTATAAAACCGTTCTGAATTTAAGTTCTTACCTTTCCGTGTCCTTTAAAGTCAGGGTTTGATTTGAAGATCTTGGTTTGTTTGTACCGAGTCTTTGCTTGGTCACTGAGCAGCTGTTTTGCTGTATGTGTGTATGAGATGCTATTAATAGTCTTCTATATTTGCTTGTGGGACATGAGCAGCACTGTCAGTGTGCTGGCAGGTCATGTTGTAAAGCCATCCTGATGATCTCTGGATCTACTGACTGATGACATGCTCATCACTCAATGTTCAGTACAACTGCTGTACAATTAAATCATATCCTCTGTATCTGTTCATGAAAATGAACACAGTTACAGAAATAAAGGCAGGACAAAAAATGACATTCTTGTTATTTGAAGATATACACCTTAAAATAAAGAGACAAACATCAGTAAAGATTATGTCTAACACTTTATAACAGCAAAAAATGCAGCATCTTTACAGTATAGGCTCAATGTTTGCAAATGTTTACAAAAATGTCTAAATACAGCATTGACTTTCACATTAGTTTTTTTTTTTTAGGCAAAGGAACTAATACAATACATTTCCCCTAATATGAATCACCTCTTAATGAAACAGTATAGTATTTTTTAGATTTTCAAAAATACATCATTACTTAGAAAAATGACCTTACATGATAACAATTTCACCATCTTCCCATTAAAATTTTATTTTAGTTACATTTAGTTATGTTATTGTTCGATGTCTATGAAACAATCCAGCTATAAAAACTGCATCAGAAGACATAAATCAAAAAGGTCAAAGTTATGTCCATGTTCAGTAAACTGCTAGACTATTTTTTTTATATTAAATACTGTTTGAATTGTTTGTTTGCACTAAAATGACAATTTAATATTGTGGGTGGTTTTATGCCAAGACTTTTTAAGTCCTCCTGAATATTATTTCACTCAGTGTCCCTCATGTCTAATCTTCAATGCCAACATTATCAGTGTTGATAAACAGGCATTTCTACATTTAAAAAAAAATATTTGGGCTTCTTATAATTTGTAGTTTAGACATTCATGAACACTTCCAGGTATTTCATAGCTGATATGCAATATTTAACTTATACTTTGACATTATTTAGCTCTCTTATCTGTGATGAGGTCAGATGATCTACAGGTCTGGCACACTGGAGCTCATACTGGAAACTGGTGCTTGGGTTAAAAAGCTTGCATGGGATTCCTTCTCTTCATTCCTGTGGAAAAGACAGACAGATAACTGCAAATTATGTCTATGTGCGATAGGGCAGAACAAAAAGTCTGCAGAAAGTATTCACCGCCATTGTTTTTCTCTTTCTGGTGCTCTGCAAAGTCAAAGTGATGTTTTGAACTGACATGTTTTTAAACTTTTGTATGAATAATAATTGATGACGTTCAGAATTATATTAAAAAAAGATGACTTGATTGATAAGTGTCCAATCTTATTTGATCAACCAGAAAACCATAGATTTGTAGGCATGTCTCACCCTGGACTGCTGCTACACTGGTTCCCATCAGACTCCGTCAGAGCTGGAGCATGAATTGGTTTCCTTCAGAATTGTAGAAAACAAAAGTGCCATGAAAATACACATTTGTTACTCCTTTGATTCAGTGTCCTGAAATTTCTGAAGCTGCTTTTTATACTCATAAATTGAGAGGTGCAAATAAGCTCAAGGTTTACATTTTTATTATTATTTATTTTTTTACTATGTCATTATTACTATCTTTGTCTCACCAACTCTGCTTTTTCTTTCAAGGTAGATGATACCATACCAAAGAGATTATGACAAATTTACAATTTATCTTAATATGTAAGATAATAATAAATACTTACTTTGATTTCAGGTTATTCATTTTAGCAAAGACCAGTCTCAGAACTCTCTCTTTTTGCTCCCAGGTCATCTCTGATATGTTCACTTTTGCTTTCTTCAGATTGCTGATGAAATAACACAAAAAAGCATCTTTTAGTTATCATTTCATCAGAAGAGAATTTTGAAAATTGTCTAAAAAAACACAAAATAAGCATAAGATCCTCACCCCTTTTCAGCCTCGTCCATACCAATGGAAGTGCTGTGTGGTGTTCTGTTGATGGTGTGAATGTGAGCGTTCTCCCTTCTGCCTGATAGGAACTCATCCATCCGCCTGCTATGATTTACTTCTGCTTCCTGTCTGGATTACATAATGTAGCTTATAATATAATTTATGTAAAAAAGGCTTGAAGGTTTTGCAGTAAAATGGAGCCTGGATCTCTTGCTTGTTAACTTTTATTTCTAGAATTAATTAGGGGTGTGTGATATTGAGAAAAAAAAATTATATCTTAATATTTTATGGGATTTTATAGAATTTATTGAAATCAGCTTTGACAAGATCCATCTTTGCACTGCAGAAGTGGCACAGAAGCTGCATCTAAAGTGGCATTTAGATGTATTTACACAGACTGTTTAATACAGTTCAGATGTGACTTGAATGCATTTCCTACTGCATTTACAATTACATACATAATGAAAAAAAATATATATATTTTTTAAATATTTCATTATGAAATTAAAATGATCGTTTATATATGAAACTAAAACCACCAGTCGGTGGTGGCAAGCCACTGTCTGAACGAGTTAAGTTATTGAGTCATTCATTCAAATGATTTGTTCAAAAAGCTAATTCATTCAGTCACTGAATCATTCCCTGAATTAATTTGTCCAAAACGTGAATTTATTCATAAACGAAACACCGATGTGTTTTGTTGGAGACACAAAACAGTTCTTCTGTAGTTTTATTTGGAAATTTTTGTTGAAAAAATAAAGCAAAACCAGAGAATATTGTGTCTAAAATTTAACTCAAAATGCTAACTTATTTTTTATTTAATTCTTTTATTAAATCAACACGACATTCACAATAGTGCTGATAATCAAGAAAAACAGCACTGATATAAATATAAGACAAAAATCATGGGTGGAAATGACCCTGTATATCCTGAATTTTGGGTGCATTCAAACTGCTTTCTATCAAATGTGACCCTGGAGCACAAAACCAGTCTTAAGTTGCTGGGGTATATTTGTAGCAATAGCCAAAAAAACAAACATTGTATGGGTCAAAATTATCGATTTTTCTTTTATGCCAAAAATCATTAGGATATTAAGTAAAGATCATGTTCCATGAAAATGTTTTGTAAATTTCCTACTGTAAATATATCAAAACTTAATTTTTTATTAGTAATATGCATTGCTAAGAACTTCATTTGGACAACTTTAAAGGCGATTTTCTCAATATTTAGATTTTTTTGCACCCTCAGATTCCAGATTTTCAAATAGTTGTATCTCGGCCAAATATTGTCCTATCATAACAAACCATACATCAATGGAAAGCTCATTTATTCAGCTTTCAGATGATGCATATATCTCAATTTCAAAACAAAAAGTTTTGTGGTCCAGGGTCACATTTTTGTTTTGTCAGGTGCAAAACAAGTCTGTAACAAGCGCAACGTATCAAACATACCCGCAGCTTCACGTTTCAGATACGATCAAGGCGGCAAATTGTCTGCGCTTCCTTACAAACACAAATCTCCCTGGCTTGGGAGGCACACCTTCGCTATTGCACAGCAAACAAACATAATTGGCTAATCTAATCGCATCGCTTTCTGCATTTCTGTTTACTTTTGGCTAAGCGTCTCTATGAAGGCCAGGGCTATGTGACTGTGAATGCCACATTGTTCAGGGCCCCTCACAGATGCAATCTGCACAGACGTCGCTCGGCCTCTCTCCAGCTCCGGTGACAGGCTGTTGAGTCCGAGGTGTACGCTAACGCAAAAGAGAGACTCCATCACGCTTCACATGCAGCCCTGATAGAGTGGAGTCAGTGAGTTTTTTTTTTTATTGGTCTTATGAAGTAAGATAGTGTTTGTTGAGATAGTGAATTGGTGGGTTTTTGTTAAATGTGAGCCAAAATCATCACAATTAAAAGAACCAAAGACTTAAACTACTTCAGTCTGTGTGCATTGAATTTATTTAATACACGAGTTTCACAATTTGAGTTGAATTACTGAAATAAATGAACTTTTCCACGACATTCTAATTTATTGAGATGCACCTGTATTTATTACCTTCTAAGAGTGGCGGCTCTTCCTCATATGAGTCTATATATTCTGTTTGCTCGGGTAGCGCTACAGGCTGATACACTTGTCCACTATAAGATGCTGTAGTGGTATATTCATCTGCTAAATGTGCGGAATTATCACTGATGATCAGATGGTAAATAATGAATCAACATTTACATTGCACACAGAAACACATTAGCTGATATACCTTAATAAATGAGATATCAAACACATGTATGCATTTACACTTACACTTCATGGTATTCTGGATTGACGTAGACTGGATCATAGCCATATACATCCTCCTGCTGACCATCCATATAATATCCAGACTGATAGAAGTCTTGTTCAAAGTTTTGAAAGTCTCCCATTCTGCTTAAAGTAATGAGGAATGTCTACACAAGTTCATTTGTGGTATAAAACCGTTCTGAATTTAAGTTCTTACCTTTCCGTGTCCTTTAAAGTCAGGGTTTGATTTGAAGATCTTGGTTTGTTTGTACCGAGTCTTTGCTTGGTCACTGAGCAGCTGTTTTGCTGTATGTGTGTATGAGATGCTATTAATAGTCTTCTATATTTGCTTGTGGGACATGAGCAGCACTGTCAGTGTGCTGGCAGGTCATGTTGTAAAGCCATCCTGATGATCTCTGGATCTACTGACTGATGACATGCTCATCACTCAATGTTCAGTACAACTGCTGTACAATTAAATCATATCCTCTGTATCTGTTCATGAAAATGAACACAGTTACAGAAATAAAGGCAGGACAAAAAATGACATTCTTGTTATTTGAAGATATACACCTTAAAATAAAGAGACAAACATCAGTAAAGATTATGTCTAACACTTTATAACAGCAAAAAATGCAGCATCTTTACAGTATAGGCTCAATGTTTGCAAATGTTTACAAAAATGTCTAAATACAGCATTGACTTTCACATTAGTTTTTTTTTTTTAGGCAAAGGAACTAATACAATACATTTCCCCTAATATGAATCACCTCTTAATGAAACAGTATAGTATTTTTTAGATTTTCAAAAATACATCATTACTTAGAAAAATGACCTTACATGATAACAATTTCACCATCTTCCCATTAAAATTTTATTTTAGTTACATTTAGTTATGTTATTGTTCGATGTCTATGAAACAATCCAGCTATAAAAACTGCATCAGAAGACATAAATCAAAAAGGTCAAAGTTATGTCCATGTTCAGTAAACTGCTAGACTATTTTTTTTATATTAAATACTGTTTGAATTGTTTGTTTGCACTAAAATGACAATTTAATATTGTGGGTGGTTTTATGCCAAGACTTTTTAAGTCCTCCTGAATATTATTTCACTCAGTGTCCCTCATGTCTAATCTTCAATGCCAACATTATCAGTGTTGATAAACAGGCATTTCTACATTTAAAAAAAAATATTTGGGCTTCTTATAATTTGTAGTTTAGACATTCATGAACACTTCCAGGTATTTCATAGCTGATATGCAATATTTAACTTATACTTTGACATTATTTAGCTCTCTTATCTGTGATGAGGTCAGATGATCTACAGGTCTGGCACACTGGAGCTCATACTGGAAACTGGTGCTTGGGTTAAAAAGCTTGCATGGGATTCCTTCTCTTCATTCCTGTGGAAAAGACAGACAGATAACTGCAAATTATGTCTATGTGCGATAGGGCAGAACAAAAAGTCTGCAGAAAGTATTCACCGCCATTGTTTTTCTCTTTCTGGTGCTCTGCAAAGTCAAAGTGATGTTTTGAACTGACATGTTTTTAAACTTTTGTATGAATAATAATTGATGACGTTCAGAATTATATTAAAAAAAGATGACTTGATTGATAAGTGTCCAATCTTATTTGATCAACCAGAAAACCATAGATTTGTAGGCATGTCTCACCCTGGACTGCTGCTACACTGGTTCCCATCAGACTCCGTCAGAGCTGGAGCATGAATTGGTTTCCTTCAGAATTGTAGAAAACAAAAGTGCCATGAAAATACACATTTGTTACTCCTTTGATTCAGTGTCCTGAAATTTCTGAAGCTGCTTTTTATACTCATAAATTGAGAGGTGCAAATAAGCTCAAGGTTTACATTTTTATTATTATTTATTTTTTTACTATGTCATTATTACTATCTTTGTCTCACCAACTCTGCTTTTTCTTTCAAGGTAGATGATACCATACCAAAGAGATTATGACAAATTTACAATTTATCTTAATATGTAAGATAATAATAAATACTTACTTTGATTTCAGGTTATTCATTTTAGCAAAGACCAGTCTCAGAACTCTCTCTTTTTGCTCCCAGGTCATCTCTGATATGTTCACTTTTGCTTTCTTCAGATTGCTGATGAAATAACACAAAAAAGCATCTTTTAGTTATCATTTCATCAGAAGAGAATTTTGAAAATTGTCTAAAAAAACACAAAATAAGCATAAGATCCTCACCCCTTTTCAGCCTCGTCCATACCAATGGAAGTGCTGTGTGGTGTTCTGTTGATGGTGTGAATGTGAGCGTTCTCCCTTCTGCCTGATAGGAACTCATCCATCCGCCTGCTATGATTTACTTCTGCTTCCTGTCTGGATTACATAATGTAGCTTATAATATAATTTATGTAAAAAAGGCTTGAAGGTTTTGCAGTAAAATGGAGCCTGGATCTCTTGCTTGTTAACTTTTATTTCTAGAATTAATTAGGGGTGTGTGATATTGAGAAAAAAAAATTATATCTTAATATTTTATGGGATTTTATAGAATTTATTGAAATCAGCTTTGACAAGATCCATCTTTGCACTGCAGAAGTGGCACAGAAGCTGCATCTAAAGTGGCATTTAGATGTATTTACACAGACTGTTTAATACAGTTCAGATGTGACTTGAATGCATTTCCTACTGCATTTACAATTACATACATAATGAAAAAAAATATATATATTTTTTAAATATTTCATTATGAAATTAAAATGATCGTTTATATATGAAACTAAAACCACCAGTCGGTGGTGGCAAGCCACTGTCTGAACGAGTTAAGTTATTGAGTCATTCATTCAAATGATTTGTTCAAAAAGCTAATTCATTCAGTCACTGAATCATTCCCTGAATTAATTTGTCCAAAACGTGAATTTATTCATAAACGAAACACCGATGTGTTTTGTTGGAGACACAAAACAGTTCTTCTGTAGTTTTATTTGGAAATTTTTGTTGAAAAAATAAAGCAAAACCAGAGAATATTGTGTCTAAAATTTAACTCAAAATGCTAACTTATTTTTTATTTAATTCTTTTATTAAATCAACACGACATTCACAATAGTGCTGATAATCAAGAAAAACAGCACTGATATAAATATAAGACAAAAATCATGGGTGGAAATGACCCTGTATATCCTGAATTTTGGGTGCATTCAAACTGCTTTCTATCAAATGTGACCCTGGAGCACAAAACCAGTCTTAAGTTGCTGGGGTATATTTGTAGCAATAGCCAAAAAAACAAACATTGTATGGGTCAAAATTATCGATTTTTCTTTTATGCCAAAAATCATTAGGATATTAAGTAAAGATCATGTTCCATGAAAATGTTTTGTAAATTTCCTACTGTAAATATATCATAACTTAATTTTAAAAATTTTTTAATTTTCAATCTGGAAATATTGGCCAAATATTGTCCTATCCTAATAAACCATACATCAATGGAAAGCTTATTTATTCAGCTTTCAGATGATGTATAAATCTCAATTTCAAAAAAATTGAACCTTATGGCTGGTTTTGTGGTCCAGGGTCACAAATAGGCTGCATCATGCAGTGAAGGTGTGTTTTTTGCAAAGAGAGTGTATGAATGAATGAATAGTGAAGTGCACATGTGCATTAGCATCTCCTGCTTCACGTGGTTCAGAGCCTCATAGAACAGGATCTCCATGTCTGAGCGCTGCTCCACTATGCTGCGGGCTATTCTCTTCACTCGACTCAGCTCTCTGTCCCGTACGCTCAGGAGCTTCTGCAGTTTGTCCAGCTCTACGCCGCTGGCCTGACTCCTGACTGCAGCACACTCCTTGATATCAGCCTTCTCCCACTCAAACTCAGCCACCCTGCTGGCCAGGGCCTGCTCCAGCGTGAACACCTTGGCCCTCAGCCCAGAAACTGTGCTCCGCTGGGCTGTAAGCTTAGATATGGTGTCATTTGAGGTGTCCTGACTCATCTCCTGCAGGGTGAATGAAATTGTGGGTTCCAATGAAACTGGTCATTATAAATGTCTGCTACTTCATAGGCAAGCTTTATAGTAGACAAGGGTCTAATTAAGCTAATTTTAAATTTCATTTCATTTGTGCATGTGTGCATTTATGTGAGTGCCGAAGAAAGTTGTAATTATAATTTTTAATAATATAGTATAATAAATAATATAGTATACATAAATTATAATTAATACAATATAATAATGTAACATGTAAAATAATTGTAATAATGTAAAAGTCTTTACTGTCACCTCTAATGAATTTTATGCATCCTTGCTGAATAAAAGTACTAAAAACTGACCTCAAACTATTACACGGTAGTCTAGGTGAACTACAGTGTGTCTCACCTTATGCAGACTAAGGATGTTGTTCTCTTCTGCCAGCGCTGCATTTCTCTTCTGCAGATCCTCCACCTCTTTGATGTGGTAACCCAATGCCTTATTTAGTCGCACATTCTCCTTGAACATGGAGCAAGATGCGTCATCCAGCTGTCTGATAGGACCGAGATGGAGGATGTCATCTCATTTATCTCATGCAAAATGTATCTCACAAACAGTTCCAAAGGCATCAGGTAGAAATGTGTAGTGGTGCTGGGATACTGGGAGAGATGGAGAAGATACATACATGATGGCTTCATTGTGAACTCTTTCTGCAAGCACAGCAATCTTTTGCTCAGCTTCCTTCTCTAGATGAACCTAATGAATGTAGAATGAGAGAGACACTGAGAGAGAGAATGAGGAAGATTTTGCTGAAATGTTTTTTAGTATATACCTTATTATTGAAGAACTTTTGCTCCATTCTTGCAAGTGTTTTCTTGTGTTCTAGATCTGCATTGTCCATAGTTTCTTTCATCTGTACAAACAATGGTGATGTTATAACAGACATAGCACTCTACACTAGTACCTCTGCATAACTGTGTACATGAAATAAATAGAGTAAATTATACATTTTTAAGCTCTTGCTCCATTTGGGGCTTCTTCTTAAGGAAGTCATTGATGATCTTAAGCTCCTCTTGAATCATGTTGAACTCGCTAGATCTCTTGTTAAACTTCTCCTCCAGCTCATTGATCTTTAGTGTGTATTGAGCGGCCTGTGATGACAATCAGTGAGAAACGCTGAGCAGTCAGCAACAAGGCAGTGAGAACACGAATGACCTGATCAGTTCCTGTTAAAAAATAACACTGGACTTGGAAAAACTTTGTTTAATATAAACATTTATCTATTGAGTATTATCTATTGTCCATTATTAATGAAATAAATGCCAGTGTTCAATTTAATGTTCACAAAGATGATACTTTTAGTTATGTAAAAATGGCATTATTATTATCTTTGACTTGTATACAGTTGCTGTATAGATGGAATAAATTTTTTTTTAAGTGAATGGCTATTTATTTATTTAAATGGATGACTTTCTATTCTTCAAACATTGTATTTTCATGATTTGTATTGATGGTGTATTTTTTGTGATTGCAATCTTTGTTTTAAAACATTAATCTGACAAAATAAAGCTCAAACCACAATGATAAGAACAAAGACTGAATTTATCCTTGTTTTCCCAAATGAGGAAAGGCATTTCTTACCAAGTTCTCTTTTTCCTGAGAGGCCCTTGTTTTCTCAAGCTGTATTTGTTGTTCCAGTGCCATTATCTGAGAAA